GGTGTTCAGCTTGTTTCGTCTTATATTCCAGCCCAGGGCCTTAACCCATAGGATGGTGCCACCCACATTCAAGGTGGGTCTTCTCTATTCAATTTAACCTTTTTGGAAGCACCCTCACAGACACCCCCAGAAGTGTATTTCCATGGTGACTCTAAAACCCATCAAGTTAATGGTCAAGATTAACCATCCCACAGGCCTTCAGTGAATTTCCTTTTTATAAGTGTGTGTCTGCCAAGGGTTAAGGTTTGAGCCAAATTCCATGCTTTGCATTTATTGTTCCAGGGTGATTCAAGAAACAAAAATGGCTGATTCCATGTCTTCATGATTAGGGACAAAGTAAAAAGCGTCTGTGGTAGCTAGCTTTTAGGTCCTCCAGCTGATCTTTGCAATCTGGTATTTTATTCTTCACATTAAATGGGTCTAATGTGTCTATTAGAATATTGCAGAAATGATGAGAAGAGTAGTTACAAAAGACATCTTGACTCCCAACTTCTTCTCCCCTATACTGCTCACTCTGGAGTAAGCCATCATCATGTTGTGAAGATAATAAACTAACCCTCAAAAAGCCCATGGGGGAGAAACTAAGAACCAATATGACCACTATCATAAAAAAATAGCCATTTTGGAAACAGACTATGTCTAGTGGGTCTTCAGGTAATAGACACCAAAATTTCCTGAGTACCCTGAGACAGACCACCCCTAGAAGTCATTTTTGAAGTTTCAACAGACCCTCAGGAACTACTAGACAATAAATGCTGGTCGCTTTAATCACAAGCTAACTTTTTTTTTGTTTTGTTTTTGTTTGTTTTTTGTTTTTTTGGTTTTTCGAGACAGGGTTTCTCTGTGTAGCTTTGCGCCTTTCCTGGGACTCACTTGGTAGCCCAGGCTGGCCTCGAACTCACAGAGATCCACCTGGCTCTGCCTCCCGAGTGCTGGGATTAAAGGCGTGCGCCACCACCGCCCGGCCCCAAGCTAACTTTTTGCATATAAGTAGCTACAATGTGGAGAACTCACAAACTGCTACACACTGCCCACTGAATCACAGTTTTGCCAATACCAATGGGTCAGAGAATTTCTTGTAAGAAACATTCACATTTCTACATCTGCAAATAGGTGTCTGAGAAAACGGACATTCAAGATCTCTCCTGGTAGGAGAGTTTGAGAGACAGAGGAGGGAATGAGTCAGGTCACCAATAGCTGCCTAAGGTTCCCATTTTGCCATGTAGATGACTAAGCACAATTTGTTGATCATTCACAACCTGGTCAGCAACCAACTGCTGGGAAAATTGAGGGGAAAAAAAAAAGAATTGATTATGCTTTGAGGTACTGGGCGGTTCTGTCCAGAGCTGGTCAGCATGCTTGGAATCAATGGCCATTACTGGAATGTCAACAGCAGTTAGCAGCACATAAATCCGGACCAGTCAAGTTCATAGTTTATACTGAACACCAACATGAACCATTGCTGTGAAATCTGAAATCTCAGCAGTGTTGGATTGCTGTGCCTGGTCTGGCCAGGGTCTTTCTTCTGCCCACGTTTTCACCTAAGCCACAGGGGAGACATGCTCCAGGCTTGGAGAAAGTCTGTGATTGAAGTCAACATGGCCTCTTGGGCAGCATTCCTGGCACCATGCAAGTACTTAGATCCTGCCTGGTCAGTTGGGAGCAGGGAGCCCATGCTACAAAGACTAAGCAAAGCCCTTGGGTAGCTAAACTCACTTTCAGTACAAGAAGGTCAGCATTCAATGAGGGAGGAATATATACTGTATATTTGCTAACATATTTCTTAGATTTTTTTTTCTCAAAGATGAACTGTTACAAGTTGGCCTTAGAAAATGCTGGACATCAGAGAGGGTATAGGCAAATGACAGAAGTAAACAGATGTTAAAAAAAATGAAACCCTCAACCAAACAAACAAACAAACACCAAACAAAGAACAAAAAAGTCAAAATCAACATCCTGGTTCACTGACATTGTCCAGTCAGGAGCCTTCCCCTTTGACCTTTGGGTCTGTCTGTGGAACCCTCCCCTCATCCTCAGGGCCCTCTGGAAGGAAGAAGGTTGAGAGCATCTAGCAGCATGAACCCTGGTGTGATATTTACCTCAGCTAAGCCTCTGGGACTTGCCACAGTAATATGCGCTTATGCTAAGATTCGCCATCTTCACTTCCTGCCATAGCAGACCTACTTGTCTCCAGTTCTATGAAAATCTCCCTTAACATAAGGCCTTTGTGTGACAACTCAGAGCTGTACAACTGGTTTATCCAATTAATTGGACCCGTCCATGAGGTAATATGTGTTAAATCACAAGAGTTGGTGTATTGGGTTCATGATGAGCTGCATTCCGACAGAGCAAATGTGGTTATGACTTCAGGAAAATTGGCTGGCACACACTGGCTCGAATTCAAATTGACACTTCCTTAGCCCACAGTTTAAAACCTGCTTTAAAAACTGGTTAAACAGAGAAGAGTACTGTACTAGACTCCTGGAGCCTTCTAGATGAATGCCCACCCCCGATGTGGTACATGCCTCCAAAAGGAAATTGCCTTACTGTGCTACAATAGCCTGGTACCACAGGTGGGAACTCCTTGACAGCAAAGTCTGTTTTATTCTTCATGTCTCACATGTCTCACAGGCTCCACCAGTGACCACAAAAGTAAATAATCTCACACACCCACATTCGCATAGGTCTTATGTAAGTGTACGGTGAAACAAAGTATATAAGGATATACTCCATGCAGTCAACATGGAGATTAAAGATCCATTGTTCAGGGAAGGAGAAGTAGGAGAGCCAAGCCAGAGAGAATGAAGAAGACTGCCCTGAAAATTCCTTGACGTATATTCTGTTAAAAAACTGTGTATGAATGTGCAAATTAACTAGATGGAGGAAATATGATGACTATGTTTAGTCAAAGCAAGTTGAGCAATATTTTAGAAAAGCTACCAACAAAAACACTATATACCTGTGGTATACACATAATTATATTTAAACGAGCAAGAAGGAGGGAGGGTGTGCATTGCTGGTACAGTGAGAAACCATCCAGCAGGGGCACTCCCCAACAGTTACTGGGAATTTCCCCTTCAGCCATAAAAAAACTTCTTCTCCCAAAGCTGTGCCCATCCATTCCCTGGTGGCAGCTCACATGTAAAGACTGAGCCACACAGGATCCAAAGGTCTGGGCTTCTTCCCAAAGAAGGACAGCTCCAAAGTGCTGTCTGGCCACTTCTGCTTCCGTCTGTCTCAGCTCAATCTTTTTCTTGGGAAATGCAAACAAAGTTCAAGGATAGAGTCTAGTCTACTAAAGAACCGAGGTGGGGAGAAATGGCGTGTATCTTTATATTGATTCCATTGTTATGATATGTATGCATCACCCTTATAATTTTGAGACTATCAAGTGAAGCAATTTGAAAAGTGATAAACGTATGTTCATTGAATGAATCAAATCGATGACTGTACCTGTACTCTGTTAGGTAACAAAATGGCACATTGCAGGTATGTGGAGGTAAGCGAACTGAGTAGAAGGGGAATTTGCCAACACTTACAGTAACATTGACTTAGTTGGTTCAAAAAAGATTAGACCAGCTCTCTGAGACTGACATCACCGTCTCACACATACAATGAAGGGAAGAGGGAGACAGGTGGGCAAAATAGGAGAGTGAGTTTTAATTCAACGGAAAGAGAGATTGTTTAATATTGGAGTTCTCTGCTTCTCATATAAAGTAAAAACTAGGATGACTACTATCGAAAATTCACTCCCAAATTACCTGTAATTCTTCCTTTTGGTGAGCAACTAGATTCCAATTGGAAGAGAAAAATTCCTGCCATGTATGCAATCTGTAACCTCCATCTCCGCTACCAGCAAACCCATCGAGGACCACGTCTACTCTAACGATGCAGCCCCACACTGCTGGTAGCCCACTCTTTAGGCAGCCAGAGTGTTCACCAGGGACAGATACATCTGGCCCTTAGAGAAGTAGATGATCTTTACAGTTCTTAGCACCTGGGGTTCTAGGAGGGCCTTCTGGAAAGGCAAATTCATGCAGGGATGACTTAGAAAAGCAGCCTAGGCCTTAGCCGAATGCTTGCTCCTTCCTCCTTTGGATTCCAACCAATTTTTGCAAATGCATCCTCTTTAGGCATCTATAAATGAGATCCCTAAGGCTTAGTGCCCCTTTTGGAGTAGGCTTAGTAGCATTTGTGAGGAGGAAGTCCTTGAAGCCATAATTATCGAGCCACCAACTGCATTGACAGATCCTTCGGAACTGTGTAGGGGGAGCCCTGTCCAAGTTCTGCATAGCGCCCTGATTAAAAAGGCTGACAAATACGTTTATATAGAAGCTTCCACATGCAGGAGATGGGTATGCTTTAGGGTGAGAGTGTTTCTAACCAGAGAGGAGTATTCTGCATCCATTCATTGAATATTAATTGAGCTTTCCTGGGTTAGTATTTGCTTGGACAAGATCCAAATAAAGCAGGAGAGGGACAGAGATTCTGACCCTGAGGAGGGTCTGGAAGGTCCTTGAGAATCTGCAGTGAAGAGTTTCGCAGACAAAGAGACTCTGATAAATGGTGCTTTCATCATGAAGAAATGCTCAACATGCTGAAGAAGTTAAGGGGTAAGGGGACTCCAGTTTACAGAAGCAGCTGGATGGGAGGCTTCTTGGAGGAAGTGACAAATACTTACTACAATCAGATTATCCAAGTATTTGCACAACCACTTTTAAAGTTGTTTAATTTGTTATATAAAATATGGTTCTGGATTTATAATAATTCCACAGAATTTTTACTTATATATTTATCATTTTTACCACAAGGTCATAAAACTTAATAAAAAGAATTAATAAAATAAATAAATTAGACTCTGGTGAGAAAATAATAACTTCATAAGCAACAATTTCATTTCTTGCAGAGAGCTACATGGTCTGCCTCTAAATTTATTTAAAGAGAAAAAGTAGGGAAACTGAGGTTCTCATTGTAAAGCTACATATTCCTTTCTGTTGCAGGCGTCTGTATCAACTCCCTGTTCAGAGGACTGATCTCTTCAGGAGTTAGAATCAAAGAGCACACGGTCAAGAGAAAACATCAGAGAGGGCGACATCACGAAGGTACTGTGTGCTGTGGACCTTTTACTATCCATCATGCCAATGGCCAGTTTAAGCTTTCAGTAGGAATTGCATATTCCCCGGGACCTGAGACCCTTTGTCACTGAAACAACAGCCTTGGGGATACTCTCCATGAAATGAGCTGGCCAACAGCGTCAGCTCCTCTGGGCTTCACATGGTCCCTGAAATCACTCGAGAAACCAGGTACTAAGATTTTGGCTACTCATAAAATAGTCCTGAAATGCACTTCATGATGCAGTTGGTAATAAAAATGTCTTACTGAACTCCATCCCTCCAAGAGGCTAGACTTGATTCTCAGCCCAGCGTGCCTGCACCAGGCCTGCATGAATCAATGCTAAATTATTCACGAGCCTGCCTCTAAAAATTCCAGAGTTCCAAAACCCCTAATAAAGTATTATGAAAAAATATCCATCTCTTTATCTCTATCTATAACTATTTATACAGCTGGAGAAAAACCTGTCGTTTTATTTCTTTTAATTTAAAAGCTTTCCTAATTCCTTTTTCCTACTACATATATATGTCTGAAAAATTTGGGTGTTGAAATAATAGCCTCTAAAAAATGGTCGACAGGAAAGGCTCTGAGGATTCAGAGTTGACAGGCACAATGAATATTTCGCTCCCTCTATAACTTTCCATGGCACTCAAGCCTATTCACCGAATTGAGAACTTTCCGAACAGGTGTGTCTGATTTTTTTTTATTGTGCAGAGCAATGATGATATACCCACCAGCCTTCTCTTACTATTTGTTTATACAGTTTTAAAGTTTGTTCAGAAAATACTCATTTTCTTCCTGTGCTTCATTGTGTGTTCGCCATGTACTCAATATCCCTCCTAGCACTCTACAGACTCAATGCAAGTCTTGTCTGAAGTTCCACATTAAAATCCGTCCACGATGTCCTCAACTGCATCCTGCCTCTGTTGGGGACACTAGACTACAAAGTATCCCTGGGGCCATTTTTTTCTTAATTCTTTGAACATTCCAAGTCAAAAGAGACTTCATTATGTCAAGCTAGCTGTCAGCCATTCATATTTCAGGGTGAATTGGTGAGTTTGATACTTCAAGGCTACCAGCTGAGTGAGATAGACATTTCTGTAACCATGCGAAGCTGGAACAGGTTGGACCAGCTAGGCAGTAGTGGGGGCTACCTGTTACAACAGCACCCTGTATTTACATGGTGGTGGTTTTACTGACCTATACTCTACTCAGAGAAAAGATTTCTAAAGATAGAAGAGTGGTTGGCAGACCACCTGCAGTAGGGAAGGATTAAGCCTCTCATCCAAAAGACTTCCTCAAATAAAAATACTCGGTTTGTAAAAATGACTTCTTAAGGGTTCAATAGCAGCAGAAGATCTGGTGTACTGTCACTCTCCTCTAAGTAGATGCAGAATAAATGATTTAAAATGATTGCTTTAGATATAGATATGAGAAAAGAATTTAATGTGGTAAGAGTACCCCACATCTTCATCCAGCCCTGCTATCTTAGGCTTTCTGCTCAAGGGGTTAAAAGGACACAAGAGAGGCCCCAGGTTCACGAATGAGACTCTAAGGTGGTAACAAGTGATTTGCCCAAGATGAGCATCAGGAAGACACAATACTGAAGACAAGTGTCACCATCACATTTGGAAACAGCATCATTCCAGTATCTAAGCCCCTGGCCTCAGTCTTGCCCTTAGAAATGAATGCCCAGCCTGAAGCAAAGAACTCTCATGGACTCCTGATGAGTCTGCTGTTTAAAGAGGACCCAGAGGATGAAGCCAGATTTCATGAGAGCCATATCCATACCAAGATCCATCTCAGTCCAGTGCTGGTAGAAGCTCCTGGAGCCAAAGAAAGCTAAGCCAATATGGAAGGGAGAAACACCTGAAAGGCAGGTAACAACTGTCAGGGGCCCAGGACAGGGATGGGGAGTTCTGCTGGGTCCCTTGAGGGTCGAACTTCTCAGAAGTTTGCAGAAATTGATTCAGAGGTAATTCTCAGAATCACCGTTCTCCATCAGTTACTTCTGAAAGCCACCCCTGGGCATAGAAACCAGCTCATCTTCCCCTGTCAAGCATTGTCACATGTGCATGGTGGACCTCTCAGGAGGTCCATGTCTCTTATGTAGATTAACTTTCTCTCCTACACACTTACAAATATCTTTTGCAAACCCTGCTTAGTATAAAATCACAGAAGTTACCAAACAGGAAAGCAGTCAGGCGACCCCATGGCTCTTTGGCAATTCAGACCAAGGTAAGCTCACCAGGCTGGAGGGAGCTGCCTGAATCAACTTGCCTCTCTCTCACCCTCAGTCCCCATACATTTGTGAGCAGCTCATTTTAAGAGCTGATTAGATGAGCCCTTAATAACATTAGAACGTAAATGGCCCCAGATAGGCTTTCAGCCACTTGCCAAATTGAGACAAATGTGGTATTTGGGGAACTGATCTCCCAGCTTTGTGCCTTCTCTGGATTGCAGACGGGCTCTGAAGCATTTTGCCTTCTCCCCTGGATCACTACAGCCTGAAAGTGGGTTTGTTTGGGTCTATCAGAGCCCTTTCTTCTCTAAGGGGCTGGAATTCTATGCCGATGGTCCTGATGATCCTACACTTTCAGGGAAAGTTAGGTTGGGGATGAAGAGCTCCGATTTTGATAATCTACAGGCAAACCTCTCAGTGCCCCCATATCTTCCGAAAACTTTGAGTTCAGGAAGCAATCTTCTTGAGCAACTACTACTTGAAGTGATTTAATTCAACATTAATGTCAGTAATACCAGAGTTTGGGTGGAAACAACAGAAAATGAGACATGTGCTTTTCTGTTGCCTAAGTATGTTTAGCACCCTCTTTAACTCAGGGATGGGTTCATTTCCAGGAAAGACAGAGACATTGGTCAAATAAATGGGGATAACTTTCCGTTTTAATACTCCTCTGTAATTTTGAGGAAAAGGTAAAAACAGAATTGGAAAAAGAGGAGAAAAAGAGTGAACATAAAGGAATGCCCTGATGTTGAGGTAAATGTATGAGAAGCAAACAAAACCATTGGGCTTGTCTTCTCCTGTCTATCCTCAGATTTAGTATCCGCAAAACATACTGAAACTCCCAACTCATGCTTTGTTCTGTTGGCTATAGGGGTCATTCAAGACTCTCCCTGAGTTTAAGCTTTCTTAGAAACCCACAAGTGCAGTTCTTTCAGCTTTCCAGAGGAAACTAAACTTTCAGCTCACTCTTACACTGGGATAATGAACTTCCTGAGGGGAACCAAGGAGCCCCAGGAGCAAGCTAGGAGAAGCAGAAGAAGCTGAGGCCCAGGCAGTATGAGGGACAAACCAGTCCTCCCATTCTGGCCCCACAAGTTCCCAGTTTACTCCAACCTTCACTCACAAACCACTGGGTGGTTTCAGATGCATTTAAACTGTGACCAGAATCAGACACCACGGATGAATAGGCATGGCTTGCTTTAGCTGTGGGGATTGCAAAAGCTCTGTAGAGTTCAGCCCCCAGGATCATGTTTGATTCTATCTCAAACTCCAGTCAGTATGGGCTCAAAGGCTGTTTGATGTGGAGGGCCATAAAAGGAATGTCAGAGGTCTGAGCCCCTATGCTTAGCCCTGCACCTTTGAGAAGTTAAGCACTTGTCCAATTGTGATGCACTTTCATGGAGAGACTGTTGCCCGAAAGGTTACTTCTCATTACTGTACATTGCTAGCGTTGTTATATTTGTGGTTTCCTCTTAACATTTGTGGCTGTGAAAAACTCAGTGCTATTAGGTGTATGAGCCTGCCTGCCAGCTCTCTTCCCTTGCTAAGCCTTAGGCTGTATACAAAAGGCTCTTTCATTTCATCCTCTCCTCATAGCTTGCTTTGTTCTATGTCTCTGTATACAGAGAAAGCAGCCTTCCTCTTTGCCAAGGCTCACTCCTCCCCTAAACCCTCAGTCCCTGCATGTATGTGTGTGTGTGTGTGTGTGTGTGTGTGTGTGTGTGTGTGTGTGCGCGTGCGTGCGTGCGTGCGTGCGTGTGTGCCCCTCTCCTCCAAAGTCTGATCCATCCACTGTTCTGCTCCAATGTCCCTTTTTGTCTCTTTTCTTATTTATGTTTTACTTTCTATAAGCTTTTCCTCCTCCACTTAGAGAAGACTTGTCTCCATTTAAACAAATGAAAGCATCTTTCTCTTGCTCCGTTGAACTCTGGAAGAAGGTTGTACATTTGCAGATCACATTACTCAGTCTTTAATCCTATGGACAAAAGGGGTGGCCTACTCACCCAGGCAGTGAATCCAATGTGAGTTGTCAGAAATACGTTTAGTAAATCGCATGTGCCATGACCAGTGTGGATTCTGAGCACAAGCAGGGCACACTGTAGGGAAAGCAAGGATACCTAGCTTCTGCCCCAAATTATGAAGCACTGGGATAAGTGGAGAGATGGCACTGAGTACAGTGGAGAGGTGAGTTGAGAGTCACCAGCTGTTTCTTCTGGACAGGAGCCAAGCAAGTTGGGGAGGAGTTCTCCAGACACATGAAGGGAAAGGAGCAAAAGAAAGAAGAAAGGATCCATTAGGGAAAAGAAACAACATGGGAAAGTGAGGTCATTGGGGTCCTGGTAATGTGAAATGTAGTGGCCACTGTGTGCACAGTGCGGAGACAGTGTACTGAGGATGCACAGTCTATGCGACACATAAGAAATTTTAACTCCTTGTCAATAGTAGGGGGAAATGGAGGGTTTAGAGCTAAGGTACAGCACAATCAGATTGCCTTTAGAAAGATCACTGTGGAGCAGCAATGTGAGGGATCATGAAGTAGAAAGTTCAGGCAGGAGATGAGACCTGACTCCATCACAGCCCTGTGCATGGATGAGGGATCCAGATTAACCCTCTCCATTCTCCACAAATACACCTGAGTAGATGATGTCTCTTCTGCCCTAAAACTCCAAGCATGTGTTGTGCTATTCTCATCGAGCTTACTCAACTTGTACTACATTTATTGTTCATTTCGGTAATGTTCCCCATCAA